GTCCTGGAGTCTGGGGAAGGCTCAGAGGAGGGCTCTGTGTTGGATGCAGAGAGGGCACCAGGACCGTATGCCAGTTATCAGCTGCCTTCAGAGTTAGACATCAGTGAGGCAGATGAACAGCTGGAGCCTGTTACCAGTGTGCACATGTGCAGAGTTGCCAGATGAAGGGAACAGCTAAAGAACAGGGGTCGACTTGGGAGTAAGGCCACAGGTGGACGATGAATGGCCCCTCCCAGAGGAAATAAAAGAGGAGCAAAGGAAAGTGGAGTTTGCAGGAGAAAATTAATTCACTTATTGGCTTGTGACTCTCTGAGACTCCTTGCCAAGTTTAGATATTGGCCTGGCAGCTCTCCAAGCCAGATAAGGTCTGTGACTGTGAATCCTCCCTTGAAAGACTTTACTGGATATGAATGAGCAGAATTCACAGTAAATTAATACAAGGGTTTTTTGTCGGAACCAGGAGTTTGCTTCATGCTCTTGGGAAGCCTCGGTCAGAACATTGTTCTACTTTTTAAGATATGTGGCAGAAACTTAAGTCTTGACATAAAAATTTGAATTGATGCTAGCTTTTGGGGAGATCAGACATCTAAAGATGTCAAGCATAGTCATTTTTGACTTCTCGGTTCTGCTGATGGGATTTGATCAGAAGTTTCCACACCAGATGTTGCAAAAGGAGGAGGTTTGAATAGCTACAGAGAAGGATGGTATGATGATGGATAGAAAGACATCGTTGAGAAGGGAGCCGCTTGAGAGAAAAAGAACTTTGTGAGATCCTTGGTGCTTTCTGAACTCGGTGATTTTCTTGCAGACGTTTCATTACCAAACTATGTAACATCATCAGTACACTAATGAAATGTCTGCAAGAAAGTCACTGACTTCAGAAAGCACCAAGGGCCCAAGTTCAACTTTGAGCTACAAGTATTCTCTTCTAATAAAACCTTATTTGGTTTGGAGTGTGTAGAGCAGTGGACTTCAAAAATTTCAGCAACAGGTTCTCTGCCCAGTTGCTGGGTGGGCGTGGCCATGGTGGGTGTGGCCTAGTCAGCTTTCTGCACCATGGAGGGGGGAGGGGGACGTTTTCACCTTCCCCAGGCTCCGGAGGCTTTCCTCGAGCCTCTGGGAGGGTGAAAATTGCCTCCTTGTGTTTCAGAGGCTCAATTTTCTATGAGGGCCCTGCACTTACTTCACATCCAAAACTGGCCATGTGGAGACTCCTGGGAGGGGCAGGTTGGGTGGGGCGGGGCCAGCCACGGTGAGATTTGGAGGTTCTCCGAACCAGCCATAACATTAGCTACGGGTTCTCCCCAACCCATCCAAACCCGTACCCCTGAGTATGTCTGAAAAGCCTCATTCCAAACAGGGGAGTCTTGTCAAAACCAGAAAATGTATTCCTGGTTTTGTTGTCTTTGTTGGATCTCTTTTCTACACCCGGCACAAAGAGCTTTGGGAAATATAGTTCACTGACATTCCTCAGGCTGTACTATAGAAATAGGGCTCTGAAAATATTCTTCAACATTTTAGGTGAGGAAGTGAGAAATGGAGCAGAAGCTTCAGAATACAGGGAAAGGCATTCGGACATTGGCTTGAATCCCAGGGTGGGATTCAGCCAGTTTGGATCAGTTTAGGCGAACCGGATGTTAATTTTACATCTGGTTTGCCAAACCGGTAGTTCCAAGGCATGGCTGGCCCTGCCCCTCCCACTCCGCCCCTGCCAGGAGTCTCCACGCAGCCTGTTTTGGATGCCAGGTAAGTGCAGGTTCTGGGAGAGCGAAATACGGGCCTCCTGGAAGTTCCAGAAGTCCGGAAATGTGCCTATTTCCTGCCTCCAAAGGGCTTCCGGAGGTCGGGAGAAGCCGTTTTCGCTCTCCCAGAGGGTTGAGGAAAGCCTCCAAAGCCTGTGGAGGGTGAAAACGCCCCTCCCACCACACCGTGGTGCGGAAGGCTGAGTAGGCCATGCCCACCATGGCCACACCCACCCAGCAACAGGGCAGAGAACCCATTGCTGAAATTTTTCAATCCCACCCCTGCTTGCCCTGATAACAGAGGGCTTCAGTGAACTGAAATTCACAGATTTTAAAGTAGGAGTTCATCTGTGACGGAGATGAGTGGTTTCAAAAATTTGATCGATAAAATAATAAATAATTTTTTAAAAATATGCCAGCAAATAAATATGGTATTTCTGTACACTTGAAGCAAGTTCTCTACCAGTGAAATAGGGCTTATCCTTGACTTATGACAGTTGGGACCAGAATCTCCTTTGCTAAGCAAGGGAATTATTAAGGGAGTTGCTCCCGATTTTATGACATTTTTTGCCACAGTTGTTAAGTGAATCCCTGTGGTTTTTAAGTGAATCATGTGGTTGTTAAGTGAATCTGGCTTCCCCCATTGACTTTGCTTGTTGGAAGCCATCTGGGAAGGTCACAAAATGAAACACTGGGATGCTGAAACCGTTGCAAATACATTTTGGTTGCTGAGAGCCCACATTTTGATCACGTGGCCATAGAGATGCTTAATGGTCGCAAGTGTGAGGATTGGCTGTAACAAGTCATCTTTTTCAGTGCCACTGTACTTTTGAACAGTCACTAAATGAATGATTATAAGTCGAGGACTACCTATAATCCATGACTTGCTTTTTCTGCAACTTCCAAAAAACAAGAGAGAGAGATTTCCCAAATTCGTTGACGTAATTTCTGTCTTTAAAATTATTCTGTGACCCCTCCTCCTTCCTTCTCCTACAACCAATTTTGTTGTATTTAAGTACAATGGCAATAAAGATTATACTTACTCCAGGGATGGGTTCCTGCCAGTTCTCACCTCTTTTATAGAAGAGGTTCTACAAATCTACAGTGCTGTTTGGAACCGGTTCAGCTCCCACCCCCCGCCTGTCCGCACATCATCAAGATGAAGAGCGAGAGGAGGAATTCTGGGAGTTGAAGTCCACAAGTCTTAAAGCTGTCAAGTTTGAACACNAGGAATCAGGGTCGACTTGGGAGTAAGGCCAAAAGTGAACGGTGAATGGCCCCTCCCAGAGGAAATAAAAGAGGAGCGAAAGGGGAGTGGAGTTTGCAGGAGACCATTAGTTCGCTTAATTGGTTCGTAACCTTCTAAGATTCCTTGCCAAGTTCTGCAGATATCAGCCTGTCAGATCTCCAAGCCAGATAAGGTCTGTGACTGTAAATCCTCCCTTGAAAGACTTTGCTGGATGTGAATGAGAAGAAGTCACAGGGAATTAATAAAAAGGGGTATTTGTCAGGACAAGGAGTCTGCTTCGTGGTTTGGGGGAAGTCTAGGTCAGAAGAGTTGATGGAGTAAAATCCGCAGGGACTCCTTATCTACAAGGAAAGACTTGTGGCATCTGGGATTTTTCAGTTTAGGGCAAGATCTGAAAGAATTATGTAAAACTTTGCCCAGTCTGGAAACTGTGGCTACTATAGAGAGTTTTCCACCCACTCACTCTCATAGAATCAAAATTAAGGACCATCCATTAAAAATGATTGAGGGTCACCCATTCAGCATCAGTGTGGGAAGATTCGCATTACTACACACCTAGAGAAGAAAATAGAGAGATAGTTCAGGGTTGAACTGTGGAGCCCCATGCTCTCTGAGCTGAGTTGTTTTCTTGGAAACATTTCGTTTCCCAGCTAGAAAACATATTCAATGCATTGTTATTCAAAGTGCATAACTACAAGGAGAGGAGAAATAGAAAGAGCATTAATAAAAGGAAATTTGGGGGGAGAGAAACTTATGGAAGGAGGGAACTGGGCATGGCTAGTCTAGTAAAGAGAAGGACCAGGGAAGACATGATAGCAGTGTTTCAATATTTGAGGGGCTGCCACAGAGAGGAGGGGGTCAAGCTGTTTTCCAAAGCACCTGAAGGCCAGAGAAGGAATAATGGATGGAAACTGACCAAGGAGAGATTCAACCTAGAAATAAGGAGGAACTTTCTGACAGGGAGAACAATCAACCAATGGAACAGAAGTTGCCTTCAGAAGTTGTGGGAGCTTCATCACTGGAAGCTTTCAAGAAGAGACTGGACTGCCATCTGTCAGAAATGGTGTAGGATCTCCTGCTTGGGCAGGGGGTTGGACTAAATGACCTACAAGGTCCCTTCTAACTCTGTTAAATCTGTAAATAAAATTTCAACAGAGTGTTAAACCAAAGCTGGGCCTTTGATGCTGTTCCTTTCCAGCCCAAATGAATTGCTTTTATTTTGAAGGAGACTGCTATTTTTTTCCCCATTTTACATGTGTGCAGGCATGCATGCCTCTACATGTGTGCAGGCATGCATGCCTCTACATCTTCACAGCTCTATGGTTGGGCCCTCCACAACAGTCCCAGTTTCCGATTTGACCCCTTGGGAAAAATTAATTGCCCATCCCTTTTGTTAAACGATGGCATTCGTGGCCACCAAATGTGGTGATGGCCACCAATCTATCTGGTTTTAAAAAAGAACTGTCCACGAGGAGCTACCAGTTTAGAGAAGATGGCTTCAGTCTCAGAGGCAGCATGTCTGTTATATGCGTGTTTCCCCAAAAATAAGACCTTGCCTTATTTATTTATTTATTGGTCACCAAAAAAGGCACCAGGTCTTACCGTATTTTTCAGAGTATAAGATGGACTGGAGTATAAGATGCACCAAGGTTTTGAAGAGGCAAATTGAAAAGATTTTTTTTTTTTTGCAGTCTGCAAACCTTCCAAAAACGGCCCATTTTTTTTTGCAAAAATGGGCCCATTTTCCCCCTAAAAAGAGCATGAATACCTATTAGGAGGGTTCCTTGAAGGGTTAGGTGGGGCAAAAACGAGCAAAAAACAGCTCATTTTTTGCAAAAATGGGTGTGGTTTTGTCAAAAAAGGATATTAGGAAGCTTATAGAGTGCTCGTGGGGGCTGGGGGGGTGCAAATTTGAGCAAAAAACGGCCCATTTTTTGCTCATTTCTGCCCTCCCTAGCACTCTGAAAGCCTCCTAAAGGCTATGCATGGCCATTTTGGTGAAGGGGGTGGGGTTTCAGGAGGCAAAAAGATGCTGTATTCAATGTATAAGACGCACCCAGATTTTCAGCCTCTTTTTTGAGGGGAAAAGGGTGCGTCTTATACTCCGAAAAATACAGTATTTTCAGGTGGGATGATGTCCACTGACTCACTTCACTTGTGTGCATCACCCCCAGTCTCCTTTTCTCTGTCAGAGGCATTCAGGAACTTCTTCTGTGGCTGGTAAAGCCAGCAAAGATTTCCTGAAGGCCTCTGTAGCCGATAACAGAGCTCCGGAGGAAAGGCTTGGCCTTGCCAGCTGCAGAAGAAATGGGCCACCAAGACAGGTGTCGAGGTGTGCAAGGCAACTGCCTGGAGGTAACTCTGAGAGGAATCTCGGAGTTCCAAACCAGGAGCGAAGATTAGAGGCTTTCCTGCCTGATCAGTGAGGCAACTTGGCTCCAGAAGTTGTGGATGCTCCAACACTGGAAGTTTTTAAGAAGATGTTGGACAACCATTTGTCTGAAGTGGTTCAGGGTTTCCTGCCTAAGCAGGGGGTTGGACTGGAAGAGCTCCAAGGTCCCTTCCAACTCTGTTATTCTATCTTCTAAATGTTTCTTGTATCCCCAAAGGATTTGCAAGGCGATCATAAACTATGGATGAGTCACTTGTGATTACTTTTGGGTGTTAAAAATGAGCCGAAGATCAACAATGAAACCATGGAAGATGTGAAGGGCGGGTTAAATCAATTAAGTTTAGAGCCTTTGGTGGGTTTTTCCCTCCCTGATTACACTTAACACATTCTTTCTATCTTTAGGATCATTTAAATTTTTACTGCACGGCCAGCAGCCTGGGAAATCTGATCCTTTCCATTAAATGTGAAGAGGCAGATGGAAATGAATATCTACGGATTATTCTCAGGTAAAGAAAAGGGGTAAAGGAAAAAGCATATACAGAAAACAAAAAATGCACTGATCTTTGTGAAAATCCTGTTCATTAATTTCTATGGCGGCATTTTTACATCAGTATCTTTTAAAGAAGGGGGATGATGGCTTGGGGGGTTAAAGACGCTGAGCTTGTCAGCTGGATAGCTGGCAGCCTGGGTTCGAAACTCAAGCTCCGCGCAATGGGGTGAGCTCCCGTTCCTTGCCTCAACTCCTGCCCACCAAGCCATAGCAACAGCACTTAGACTTATATATAACTTTAGAGCCCTCCCTAAGTGGTTTACAGAGTCAGCCTATTGCCCCCCAACAATCTGGGTCCTCAATTTTTCCCACCTTGGAAGGATGGAAGGCTGAGTCAACCTTGAGCCTGGTAAGATTCGAACTGCCAAATTGCAGGCAGCCAGCAGTCTGCAGAAGTAGCCTGCAGTACTGCACTCTAATCACTGCGCCACCATGGCTAGCAGTTTGAAAGCATGCAAATGTGAGTAGATTAATAGGTAACATTTTGATGGAAGGTAACAGCATTCCCTGCACCTTTGGCATATAGTCATGCTGGCTACATGACCAGGGAAAATGGCTTTGGATAATCCTGGTCCCCTCGGTCAAGAAACGGAGATGAGCACCTACAGTTGGACACGATTGGACAGGAAACCTTTACCTTTAATTTTTAAGGTTTGCGTACTACAGCTACATAATCCCCAGCCAAGATCAGCTATTTTGACCTATCAATCTAGAGGACATATTTTCACTGGCATTAGATTCTTACACTGAACTGACCTATAATATTACTTACTAGTTGATAACCTAATAAGGCATTGCCCAGGTATTTATTTATAGGAGGAAATGTCCAGATCAAACATAATTTCTAATGTTGGGTTTCCCCCTTTACCAGAGGGAGCCTCCTTGTGGAGTTCTGTGAAGCCGTTACCATGGCAACTCCACTGTGCTGTACATTAGAAGCCATTTTATGGCACAACAGGCTGTATCTTAACAGAACTCACACTCTGAGGGGTATTAGGGGTGTCTTACCCCCACAGTAGTTTTTTCCAGAGAGTACGCTCAAGGTGTTCCAGAGTTATGCTGACACACACACACACACACACACACACACACACACGCACACACACACACACACACACACACACACACACACACATATATATATATATATATATATATATATGTCTTTGGTTAACATACAAACACCCGTGAAAATCTCAGAAAACAAATTATATATAATTTAATAGATCTATACTAGTCTCCCTTTATTTATTTATCAGCACAA